ATCCCCACAACATTGAATCATCAAAATAGCCTCAATCAAGTCTTCAGCAGGCACATGGGACAATGAGTTACATGTCAATTGCACCAATTTATTTAGAAAATGCTCCAATTTTCGTTCCACCAATCCATCGCCACCTTCCCCTCGCCTTCATTTCCCAGTCGTCCCCTTCTCCTCACCTCCACACACGTCGCGGCCGAAGGAATCTACACCGGTTAGTTCATTTATTGTGTGAAGAAGGCCAAGCTTGTGGTCGGGAAAGGAGAGAGATGGACTGGAGGAAGAGATAGGGATGGAGAGAGAGAAAGAGAGAAAAAGGGAAGAAAATGTGTTTGGATGAGAACACCTTTTCAATTTTGAGTTTTTCAAAATGGCAAAATGAACACATTTTCAACAATCTCAAAATGGACACTCAAAACACAAAACACAAAATGAATTCAAAACTCAAAACACAAAATTGAAACACAAAGAGAACAGCCCCTAAGTTTTTCTTACTCTTCTCCCTTGTATCTTCTCCCTTTTTCTCATGTGTAACCTCCATTTTGACCTAAATTAGGTCTTTATAAAGTGCTAGAACCATCTTCAAAGTCATGCCTCGAAAAGGACCAAAACATCCAGAACTTAAAAAGATACTGACTGGCCACAGTTAGAGCTATAGATGGATCATATATAGACTGAATATATCCATATTCGATCCGATCCGATAATCCAACAGATATATGATTATTAAATTCATATTCGATTTTTTTGTCGTATATTCGATCTGTTAATTCGATATGAAATATTTTAGAAATAGTGGATTCTCAATCTCAATACAAAATTTATTAAATATATATTAATATTATATTGGAACTTGATATGTTTGACCTTCTTTTTTAAAAGTCATAAAATATAATACAAGTTTCAAAATAGAAAAAAAAAAATATATAGTGTAATAAATTATGCAGTAATATATAAAATATATTATATTATTGTAACAAATTGGATCGAATTTTTATTGGATTGGATTGACCTATATCCATATTTGCTCCATTCAATTAATGAATTATTGGATCCCTTCGGGGGTGGCCGAGTTGGTGAAACAGGTGAACACGGAGATCAAATATTACGAGTTTGAATCCCCTGTCAACACTTCCTCGGTCGAGCCCGTCGCACTGGGCTTTCCTAGTGCAGTTTACCTCTCCTGTGTGGTTTGCGGGCTACTGTACAAGGAACGAGATTTACCTAGTGCGCACTTACAGTGGTCGGGTATTCGCCCCTCAGTGGTGGTCGGGATTTCGTGGCGAGTATCGGCTGCGGGTTCCTACGTCAACAAAAAATTAATGAATTATTGGATTCGAATTTTGATCGAGTTATCGAATTGAAACTCTAAATCTATCTCCCATTAATTTTATCGAATTCGGATCAAATTCCAATATATTGATAGCCATAGCCACAACTGGCCGCCACAAAATTATTTTATTTTAGTTTTTGTACTATGGTCTAACCACGGCAAACAAGCCCTTCATGTGCTCGTAGGTGGACCACTGTCACCCTTGCAACTTCTAGAATTTTGCATTTTGGTCTCTATGTCAAGTTTTTCGTACAACCTTAGTCATTTTTGTCCAAATCTTTAATGTTGATCCCCGTAACTTTCAAAAGTGTTGATATTAGTCGTCGAACCTCCATAATCATCAAAGATTGGTTCTCCTCAGTTTCAAAAGTATGAAAATCAATCCCCAAATTTTTCATAAGCAAAATTTCACTTCTAAGACTTGTGACTTTCCTTTAGTCGCTTTCTTAATGCATCTT